TATATATATACAGTATTGATTTCAATAAACACAGTCGCTACTGTGTTCGTACAATGTCGTATCTCTCAACGACAAAATGCGCAACGACAGGTGACAGTTGAAGGGTCAGGCGGGGACGCATCGATCCAGGCACGCCGTGCTAGGAGGGCATAGTACTCTACGTCAAAGATTCTTGCCCGGAGAATTGTGTCACAGAAGCATGGCGTTGGAGAGGTTGAGCCATGCGGCTTGCATAACCTAGATAGTGTCAATCAAGTGGAACAGCAGTGGGTCCCAGAAGATTATGCCGCGTGGTAACAGGTTTCACAACACACTCTGTGCCACGACAGATCGTTATGTGAGCATCGCTCGGCCAGTAAATACAGCCATCTCTGCATGACCCCGAGCTGACAATACAGAAAGATAACTTTTGCATTCGTATTTCTATATTATTACTACTAGCAGTAGCAGTAGCAGTAGCAGTAGCAGTAGCAGTACCAGGAGCAGTGTATCAGTATAGTAGTAGCAACAGCCGCAACAGTACCATTATTATTATTATTTCAGTGGATCACGGCATTAGCCGGTAGCTTCTGGGTTGACCGTGTCCCAACCTGGGACATAAGGATTCAAAGCGATTTTTTGCAGTATTATTATTATGATGATGATGATGATTATTATTATCATCATCATCATCACTATCATCATCATCATTATTATTATATAGCTTTATATTATTAAGAAAATTGGATGGGAGACCAATTAAGCAAGCCCGATAATATGATAGTGAGTCAACATAACTGAGGAAAATTGACAAGTGAATAGAAAACACCTGTCTGTTTTAGAATATACTAAAATTGAAGGGTTGCTAAGGGTACCTGCCGCCTAATTGTTTGCAACATCTAGCACTAAATAAATATCCCATTATTATTTTTACACTAGTGAAAAATACATGTGCAATAAAGAAATGAAGAAGCATCTGGGCGATTTAACTTTTACTAATTGGTCACCATGGGCTAGCTATGTATGAGCCGTGAATGTTTGTGTACAGTGAATGGAACGTCAAAAACGCGGAGTAAAATGCTGCAAATCAACCATAAAGAGCGAACAAACTGATATAACTGAATTTTTGTCAATATTTTGTTGTAATGCGAGTACATTTGCGGTGACGTATTCATTCTAACTGAATCAAACGCACGGGCACGGTGGCTGAAATACAATAAAATTTGTTACTGCCTAAACCGAATAATAGTGGAATAGGAAGGGTGCCGATTGAATGAAACCTGAGTGATGAAAGATGTGAGCAATAGAAAGGAGTGAAGATGAACGGAAACACAAAAATAGCAACGTTAGAGATCGAGAGATGTAAAGATCAACGGAAACACAAAGATAGGACATGTGAAAGATAGAAAAGTGGAGATGGATAAAAAGTTGAGAACGAGTAGAACAGTGAAGCGAGAACGAAACCGAGAAATTGGATGAGACATAAACTAGACATCGTGCATTAGCGGAGCATTAAGAAAAATGATGCAAATTCGTAATCGCGATGGAACACTGGAGAAATATGTAAGGGAGCAAGAATGTGTCACATTCAGTTACACACAGTCAATGGTGAACGAATTAGAAGCGCCTTTGAATGGAATGAAAGAGGCGAGAAGATAGAGTAGCTTGGCCTCACACTCTCACTAGGCACTGTCGATGCACGCTGGCTGCCCTGCGGACCACGAAACTCGTGAAATGACTAATTTCGTATTCCGTTCTTCGGCGTAGATTCACTATTTCTGCCACGAGTGGCAGGCGCCATCCTGCAGTAATTTGTGGCCGGATACACAGAGAAACAGACGTAAGGTACCGTACGTAATGCGCCTAACGCGATGGAAATGATAGCTGCTAAATCGCTCGGTAGCGGGGCAACAGATGCTACCACACACACGTACACGCACACGCACACGTACACGCGCGTACACGCACGTACCGCCCCCCCCCTACAATCCGCACACCAGCTAATGCATACTTACTCCCTGGTGTTCCCCGCCCCCTGCTATGCACTGATACAATCTAGCCTCCAATGCCCCAACCCTTGCGCATGCACGATTGCAAACCCCCCCCCCCGCGGCTGCTCCCACATCGCCATGCATCGATGCAAACTAGCCCCCCACTGCTCTCACGTACAATGCACCAAAGTACCCCCCCCCCCGCGCCGACGCTCCCACCCTGCCATGCCCGACAAGATATCTCAGCACGGCGCAGAGACGGTGCCGCACAACATTGCAGATGTCACGCGGACGCTTGCTCTGTAGGCGGCAATCTCGACCGTGCAGCTCAGCAGTACAACGGCGCAGCAGAATCACGCGATTGCGTCGGCGGGTTTTTACGCCGCGTGTCTTCATCGTTTGCGTATCGACCGCTGCAGCCGCGCGAGTCTCACTCAAGCTACTGTAACGCACTGTGCCGCCACGAATACCGCCAGCACGATGTCCGGAGTGGCCGGTTACCGCTCTAGAGGGCGCCACGCGGCTCCAGGCTGCCGACGCGACCGGTCACCCCATCCATGAGCACCTTCGACGCGACGCAACAAACAAAAGGTGAGTCGCTGGGTCAGGCGTCGCCACGGCGACCAGCTCCCTGCAGCCAGCGCGACACGGCTCGAGCGAGCGCCGGGCGCCCGGCGCCGACCCTCCGATACGCACTCTCGCGTGGATCGCCTACGGTGAGTCACCGCCACACAATTAGCGCCAAGCTCGCGCCGCCACGAACACCACGGCACTCGTTCATGTCGAATGCCGTTTCGCCGACGGCACGCGACAATCCGCAATTTTTTTTTTCTTTCTTAATTTACGATCGAACGACTCCAGGAGCGCCCACTGGCGTGTGGCAGGCGTCTGCGAGAGCAAAGACTGCAGGTGTATCGGGATATAAATTATAATGGCAGAGCATTATATCTCACTGCAGTCACTAAGTATATATATGTATATATATATATATATATATATATATATTTCTAGATAGGACAGCTGTACATGCAGCTGCCTCTCAGACAGCTCTCAGCATGATCGGTAATGGTAGCATCTTCGCCGTCGCCAGCGCATCAATACAACGCGCCGAATTACGTCTCTGCACGTAGCGAGATAAATCGTGCTAAACGCTTAGACGCTGATCCGCGACAATGGATCAAAGCGATTCGACTCACTAATAATGATAATACAGCTGCCCGATCTTGGAAGCCATCTCGCCGATTTGCCATCGCTTCAGTCCATACTTCAAGTCGAGAATTTGCCTGAAACGAGCCAAAGGAAAACCTCCGTGAGTGACAATCAACGTGGTTGGTTATACGCACGGCAGCTGCACTACCTACATGGCTTAATCAGTCCCCGATGCTATTTTTCATCTGCCTAAACCCGCAGACTGTCAGAGAAGAGAATCCTGCAATTACGCAGTCGGCGAAACGTTGTCGCTAGATGACATCAATTTCTCCGACCCTTTCCCGACCGAGTGCACTCGTCTGGGGCCCGTCTGCATACATAGACTAGAGCCACATTATAGCATAAACTCGGCAGTTTATTACTTGCGCAATAATCAGCTGCTGTCCCCAGTGGCTACGATCAGGTGCGCGCAGCGAGGCACTGTGCCGCGGTGAGGGAGCGCCGCATTCACATTCAGTCTGATGAAACCTCTGCCGCGCGCGCGTCGCTATAAATGCAATGTCACCGAAAAGCCGCTCTCCCGAACGACGAGCCAGACGATCAGAGCAGCGCCGCCGTGCCTATCGGTGCAATTACATGCCCTCGATTTGTACACAATTCCTGATCAATTAGGCATCTTACAACAAGTAGGTAGAAATCTACCGCATCTTACCGCAAATGCGACTGCCCCCGCTGATGCCAGGCTTTTTCATACACGACAGCACAGGCTACACCGCGGCAATGCAGAGGTGGCTCGCACACAGCCGTGCAACGAAATCTAATCTATTTTTAGCAGAGCGCACCAACCGTGATCACTATATATACTCACATCGATTAGGCTCTTGCGATAAATCCGAACGATAACGCGCTACATTGGAATATTCTACCCATTACGTAAATTGCTCACTAGCGCCAACAGCGACGCACGACAGACAGCATAATAATTACAATTTTGTGATAATGACATGCAACGCCATCAGCCTCAGGAGTCAGTACCCTCAGTACGGTTCATGAACTTTGATGCAAAAATTGCCATTTTCTTCGTTACACACTATTGTACATCGCCGTGTCTCGGACCTGCACCCCTTCTACCCACTACCATTTCCATTGAGCTCTCCCGGAGAATCTATCGAGCTGCATGTGCACGAAAGCTGCTTGTAAGGAGTCGGGAATGGAAGCGGCGACAATGGCGTCACACGATGGTATCTGCCAAGGCGTTATTTATACATGCAAACGCAATACGCAGGGGTAGAAATTAACTTTTGAACAAGGGAGTCCAACGGACTCAGACTCAGAGTAGTGAGTCCCTACCCTAAAAAAGATGGAGTCCGCAGCAAAATGAGGGAGTCCGCAGTCTGAGGTTCAAAATTAAAGATATTAACAATAACGCATGTGCTTATTTTTAAGATTCATGCAGTTGCACGTCTGCCGAATTTTCTTTGGACATTAGCTGAAAAAATACAGTAATTCCGCGAGGCCATGCTCTGGAATGAACTAGTTAGTATGGCAGAATTATCAGGGAGTCACACGGACTCCTGCATATGTCAAATCAGGGAGTCCGACAGTAAATCGGGGAGTATTTGACTCCGGACTCCTGTTAATTTCGCACCCTGAATACGTAATGCAGATAACATCGCTTCTTGCTCGCTCCATTAGCCAGACTCCGTCGTGCTTCTTCGATGTGTCCTATTGATTGCCACACGCTGCTCTTCTTCCCTCATCATCTGTGCAGCAGTGAAGCCCTGCATGTGGGGTGGGAGTGATGAGGGGTGTCACGTGACGCATGCTGTTCGTGCATTAGGGGAACTTGAGAAAGGAGAATCCGGAAAACGCTTGTCCATTTAGTGACTCAGTCTCCGTTTGTGATTTTTTTTTTGCAATATACTAGAGGGTGTAGATCATCATGGTATATTGTGCGCTCTCTGTAGCTAAGCGAGTCTGATGAAATCCAAGTATATGCTTACGTGCTTCGTGGTGTAAAAACTATATCATATTACTGGGAGTAAATAATCTAAATATCCCTCCTTGGCATTATTTACTGCTGATATTACATTTAAGAAATTCTAGAAGATTAGATAATAAATATCTGGAATTAGCGGCTCATTCTTAGTTGAGAAAACATTTACAGTAATAAGCTGCAGCTATTAGTTGTATATGCACACGCACAGTGACAATAATTGCCTCTGTGACCACTACACTTATACATACAGGGCTATACCGGATAAGCTCAAGATTATGGATGTGACTGTGACTGTATGACAGTATGAGTGGCACTTATCTCTCATAACTCTCATAGCTGGCGGCTATACATGTATCCAGATAGTGCGTGCTACCGCCAAATGAATAGCTACGAATTCATGGCGTCGTGTTTACGTACAAATTTACTGTCGAAACTCGCCTTCTTTCACCTTATGCCACCACTCCTGGAGTTGACACATCTTGTTCATAAACCAGGTTTCGCCCAATAGCCGCCCATCAACGTTACAGCACTCACACTCAGCAGTCACAGGTGAACATGCATGTGGCTGCCCAGCTGAGATTTCTCATGTTTCTTCTTGTCTATTAGGGTACCCTCTAATGCATAAGAAATGATGCCTGTAAAAACTCGGCTAAGTGTCGTTTTTTTCAGCTCGAATCCCCAATCTCAGATGTCGTACCCTTCCGCGCGAGATACGGCTTACGATAAAGTCATGTAATCTAACGCGTGGCGACGCCGGGAAGATATCATCCGACGGATCTGACGAGACGACGTCATGCACTTATTCGTGATGCAACGTCTGTATCACTCATTCACGAGTTAAGTGCACCTGTGAGAAGCCGCGGCGCGACCCTGCTCAGACCTCAGCTGCCGTCACGTGAAGCAACATTAATAATGGCAATGCACCAAGCAGCGAAGCCTGGCCGAGCTCCAATTGCAGCAATTTCCTTTGCGTGTCGTTCTCTGATTAGGCTAAAGCGAGAGCGAGGAAATCTAGCTCGGCGATTCATCTCGGTGCTAGCGCTGTCATCATACAGCGGTGTCGTTACATCAACGCCTTGCGGGTGCGAACAGGAAAGCCACACCGGAAGGAGATGGGGACACCCTACCCGAGATGTCTCTCCGCACGCTGCCTGTCGCAGGCCAGCTCCTCGAATTACTGCGACACCAGACCAGCGGGATGTCCTAGAGGGCGCCACCTGCTAGCGGGGGGGTCGGGTTACGGCTCGAAGAGATCATGCGGCTTCGATGTCAACTTACCTATTCTGCTGCTGAAATTTCCACAGCTTTGTGTAAACGTCGAATGTCCGGCCGAAGTAGGATTGCCATTGCTTGTGGCCATACTGCGGCAAGTCCCTAAATAGAACACATACATATATGTATATATATATATATCATCTTCTATCAGTATCATGCCAAGGTTTTCCTAGCACAAGTTTAGCAGTAATGATGGACTGCCAGTAGCATTTTCAATCTATGATGTAAGATGGAACAATATATCCTAGTACATGCAAATAATGATTCTCTTCGGTTCAAACATGGCGAGTTCATACAATTGCTTTATTTCAAGAATTATAAAATTTTAACATTCGCATTCACTCTCCTTCGCCATCTGGTTGTAAGACAATCAATTTCCTATGAGGACAAAAAGTGTCATTTCTGTATAATACGACTACCTTGTTATTTCTGTATTATAGGGTACAGCAATATCTTGAAAATCGTTGTCAATTGCTTCCGAGAAAGCACGGGCAAATGGATTTCAGTGAGTATGGATTTACCCGATTCCACAAAGAAATAAAAGTAATGTGCTGTTAATGCGATCAAAAATGATATTTAATGTTACGGTCAGAAATATCAAAGTATAACTGTAGTTTTGGTCCGAATTGTTACCACAATAAAGTGGAAAAGCATAATTATTATGTTGCTTCACTTGCTTCACATTGGAGCTAGTAATCAATTTTGCTATAAATTTGCATCACGGCCATTTTCATCCAGCACAAACATCAATGCACGCATCATTAAAAACATTAGTGTAACCATGGGATATATGGTTCCTAGTAGCACACTCGATCCAATGGTTAATATCCTAGGTAGACTAACCATATTTTTAGTAAGTACGTTCCTAAACTCTCATGTAGGAAGACTCTTTCCAAGATGATTAAAATATTTAAAAAAGATACTACGTTTTATCTAGACAAAGAAGGCAATGCCAGTTTTGACAGTATTAGACATTAGTGATATAGGTGACAAAATAAGGAGCAAGATAGAGTCATTTGATAATGAAGTATAAACAGGATGACTAAATAGTTTTAGTTTTTATTCTGCACACAGCAGACATTAATTTTTTGGCAATTACTTGTTACCATATATGTATGGTAACCATATATATATCGTTGTACCCATTATGTATAACCCATGTATATACACCACACCCTAATCAACCATGTTACTATATATAGACCACAAACATCTTCCATGCCAAATGTTGTTTTATGCATTGGTACAGCAACTACAATTTCCAGGGATGTAACATCAACACACATATATATATATATATATATATCAAGAGTACATAATAGGAGAAGAGTATGACAGCGTTTTGCATAGTTTTCACCTTGTAAATATTCTATCAATATGTGAATAAATATATTCAAACTTTACCTTGTTTTCGTCTATGATTCTCCCTTAATCATATGACACCACCAATTTACCTGAAAATCGTATGTTCTTCAAAAAAGTTCTTTGAATACCACACAGTTTCGCACAGTTTTCACGAATGGACGCATGTTTTTGGCCAAAGTTTATTATGGGCTTAGTGTTCTATTGTCTATGACGGAACGCTGGGGGCTGTGGGGGATATTGCCCTGCGCAATTACTGCGCATTTCTATTGGAGTTCACGTAATAAATCATATATAGGTAAATTTGGGCATGGAAATGTTGAATTTCTTGTGTTTCGAACAAGTCATACTCCTCTATTATTATTCACACCTGATATTATGTTATTATTACATTTGCCTCGTTTTGACCATGGCTCTATTACAAATGGTGCTTCATGGTGGCACTGGAAAATCCAAGGAGGTGTGTCCTGAAATTTCTGGCATACATCTTTTTTCCTACCTGCTCGGCATGCTGCCTTATTCAACTGGGATGGTGTCATGAAAACTGATATCAGATATCCTTTAATTACACACTCCTAGATTTTCCCGTGTGGCCTCATTAGCTGAATATTTCTTTGGGAAAATGCTAGCCTACTATTTATTTACGTGAGTGTTTCAATAAGCTTAAAGCATATAAGTATTGGGTAAAATAAGATGAATTTCTGTTATCTTATGCTCATCCCACAAATCCTGAAATCCACATATAACTTTATAAGTTACCTACTCATTAAATATTTTTTTTTTATATTAATGTTGGTGCAAGTATTTGGTCACTGACCATCCTATGACATTACTGGTTTTTTATATAATTATTTCCAGCCATTCAATACAATTGTTAATATAGCTATATATTATATATATATATATATATATATATTGGTAATAGCATTGATCAGATATATTGGTAATAGCATTGATCAGTAAACAAGTAATTCACAGGTATCACTATCAGTTAGAGAACGCAGTGGTCCAGTGGTCAGCACGTGTACCTTTCACTTTGAAGGCTGTGGGTCTAAACCCTAAACCCATGCCAGAGCAATGAATTTTCTCACTTGAATTACCTTGAGGTGTAAAATGGCTCTAACAGTAACTATGGGGACTGCAAATCTCTCGTGGTTCGAATGACCATGCAAACGGGTTGGTCAGTCTCAAGTAATGAGGACATTGAAGAAGCACCATGGACGTATAACACTATGGCAGTGACCACCTCCAGTGCTTGTAAAGGGGTCGACCTGGTGTAGTTCTCTGAGTCTGAGGCCAACTAACGAATAAGATGTCAACTTCACAACTATACAGCTAGTTAGCTACATGAAGATGCAACACATTGTCAGTGTCACTATATTCCGTGTAGGGGACACCGACAAATACAAGAACATAACGTAACATAACCAGTATGATTCATATTAGAAAAAAACAAATAACAACTAATTGTACATGACTATGCTCCATACAGCAAAATTTTGATATGACAACATGTCCGCAGTCTGCATGGTGAACTCAGGGATATGTACATCTCACGTCAATTTTATGCACGATACTCTGCATTGAGTACTTCAATCACGAATGGGAGGTAGCTTGACGTTTTGTTCTTGTGTACAGCCTACACTACAGGAATGGCATACTAGGGTAGTGTCTACTACTGCTACTACTAGTCTAGTGTCAGGAGTCAGGAAAGTAGACTAGTACTACTATAGTAGTACTACTACTAGTACTACTACTACTAGTGAGCTCGAGACACTGGCTGCATCATGGAAAACCCTCAAGTAGTGTTAAACCACAAGCACTCGCAACTGGCTGGTCGGGGTTTGATAAATGGCAACCCCGTTCTGCGCCTACCGTAGTGTGTATAAGAGTATATATGAGAGAAGGTATGAAACAATTTTTACCGGAAGTTTGCAGGCGACTTAGAACATGCGTCTCTAAAGCTAAATTCTAATAAAAACTGTCACATCACTTACGTACCGGTACCTTGATCGGTGGAGCCTTGTTTATTCCATTGCTGGTTACATTGTGCCATGACGAAGCTGTCGAAGTATAATTTGGAGAGAAAATGTGTGCGACAAGCGTGAACCTAACCAACTGCGCAACGGAAGTCGACCGTTGTCGTTTTGTTTAAAACACGTTAGCAGACTGCCAGTGTGAACAAGCCAATCAGATTGCGTCTTTCAAAAGCATAGGGTCGACTTCCGTTGCGCAGTTGGTTAGGTTCACGCTTGTCGCACACATTTTCTCTCCAAATTATACTTCTACAGCTTCGTCATGGCACAATGTAACCAGCAATGGAATAAATAAGGCTCCCCCGATCGAGGTACGTAAGTGATGTGACAGTTTTTATTGGAATTTAGCTATAGAGACGCATGTTCTAAGTCGCCTGCAAACTTCCGGTAAAAATAGTTTCATACCTTCTCTCATATATACTCTTATACACACTACGGTAGGCGCAGAACGGGGTTGCTATTTATCGAACACCGACCAGCCAGTCGCGAGTGCCTGTGTGTTAAACTGTTCTCCTATCTCGTAAGTAGTTGCATATCTGCTCTCATCAGAGATGCGTTAACGCGCGACGTATGCAGACACAGTCAGGAGTACATTATATCAAATAAATTGATACTAATTTACTTTAAAACAACTCAATTGATATCATGTAGTGATGTAGGCCTACTCCTGATAAAATCCTAGCCGGCTTAGGCATTAGCCATTGGCATTGCAATTGGCATTGCTCAGTTTTAGCCGATCACATATATTCGTATTGAAAACAACAGACAATGTGTTTATTAATATCAAAGAAAAATTATAGTCTTACCTAAGGCCATTAAACAGCTGCTTTGATTTCTCCAATAAATGACAAAATTCATTAACAACTTTCCGTTCGTGCTCATCTCGATCGACTTTCACCTCCGTCATTTTTGGTAGCAACATTTACTAGCGCTACCTAGCGGCAAATCACGGAAATTATAATAGCATAAAGTTTGGATTTACTCATAGATTTACTATTGAATGGGGACATAAAAAACATGTTGAGCTTCTAAAATATAACGTATAACGCATGTTTAGTATATATACTTTTAGCATACTGTGTTTGCTTGCAGTTTACACACAGCAACTGAAAACTATCGTCAACACTATTACTGTACTTAAAGGGACAGTAGCCTCTAGGATTTTACTGCATAGAACTGTACTTACTGTATAACAAATCGTCTATACCCACACGTATTTGTTACCAGATACCTAATTTAATTGTTATAATTAATTACACATCAACGCTACGAAATTTGAACGGCGCCATAACACCCGTGACTGTGCTGCCACCCCGAAAAAGTTGCGTATTTGACCATTTATTTTGCACGTTACAGACCGAGGGCTAATCACAAAAGTGCAATTATATTTATACCTAAATGCTATTTAACCGAACGATATTCATTTTAGGGCAAATTTATCCATATTATAAGTGAAACTATATGTCATTTATAAGATATTACAATCTTTTTGCTTTTAAATTAATAAATAAGAAACACCCTCGGTCTCTAGCCCTTGGCTGAAAAGTGGTTTTACGCAACTTATCAGATCGTGCACTTTGAGTGGCGCCACCGTCGTTGTAATCAAACTGTAGTCGTTAGTTTTAAAACATTTTATAAAAATATTTCTAATGGTGATTAAACCATGAAACTTTTTATGTAGCGTAATTATAACCTAAATTAGCTGAAAATAACCATAGAACCTAGAGTAAACTCTCCCTTTAATGTTGAGTAATATAATCATGTAATTGATGCAGTAATTATTTATTGATGCAATCATGTACAAAAACGGCAATGTCATATTTTTTTTATAACTGGAGAAGGAGAGTTGGATGTCGTTGAAGTCATATCAGTTATTGCCAGCATTCTTCGTCATAACACATTCTAATATTCCTTATATAGCACTTTGTTACGAATGGATACTGACAAAATATAAAAGTACCCGCAAGCAAATTTTTTTACATACTATAATCTATAGCTTGAAATCAATAAAGTGCAAAAACAAAAACAAATCTTAAAATAAATCACATTAATTTTATTTATTTATTTATTATATTATATTATATTATAGTTCCATAATATAGACTGCTGGGTGATGTTTACAAGATCATGGTGAAATATTTAAAATTCTACACAGAAAGATTTTGTCTAAGTCCATAATAAAATTATGTGCTGATTTGCGAATGTTGATAATAAATATTATAACACCGTTTGAACAGGCTGGTCGTTCGAGAAGCTGTTGATACAAAGTCGCCAGCGGACATATAATAACCAATGCAAGCATCTTCCCAATAAGCATAGATCTGATGTAACATCACTTCCCATCTAAAATTAGCGAAATTTCAGATCGACGCATTGATGAGATAAAAAAACGGAATCAGTTTTACTGGATGAATGTGCTTGTTGTTTAGTATGCTCACACTAAATTCATTTTACAGCACAAGTCACGGGACCATTGGGAGGTAAGTAGTTAGTAATTATGAACTGTCAGTCAACACCGGAGCGGCTACGCTTATTGTGCCTCTCTGCCCGTATAAATGATGAATAGGTATTATTAGTCAATCTGACAGTGGACACTACTGCAAACGGTGTCGCTTGCACAGCGACAAACTCCGTCCGTACAACTGCATTTTTACAGATGAACAATAGTGGTGAAGATAGTAGCTAGCTACCTCTAAACACGCCACGAACGGCTTGACAGCTTCATGTCACTCAACACGTGATTCCTCTGAGTAAACACTGACCAGTTGTAATTTTAGCTGAGAATACCATTACACGACGATAACAGACAATTAACAGCACAGCACCCGATCTTCACGATACGTCCAACTTCACTTCTCTCTCTCTTCGGCAAAACCCAACCACCGGCACATTGCGACAGGAATGTCCCCCCATTTCGCTATGCGAAACGCTTCTTCTACAATTATTATTACACGTTACAATCCACCACAAGTCAACAGCAGCAAATTTACAAAGCGCAGCAGTAGCTTCGGCAGACGTTCACGCTGCAACGTACAGAGAGCTCACCACGTAAAACTGTGGCGCAGGAAAACGCCAACTGTCACTTGTCAGGAAGACATCTTCCCACGACGTTATCCACTGCTATAAACATGGATGGTGTTCTACATTGCCCGTACGATTCGCGTCATTATTAGAATAACATTTAGCATAAAATAATCACTCGCCTAATGGTACTTACAGACAGTGAAGGACGGGTAGCAAAATGGGCTTATGTCAACAAAACGCTGCTCGCACATGGGAGGTGTGTGGAAACTCTGCCCAAAACAGTAGAAGAGGCATAAAATGAGCTGAGCTGTGAATGCAGATAGACGGTAGGCACCACGAAAACAACAGACAACATATGCGCAGCGTGCCCCCCTCCCCCTACGAGCAGCAGGCCTCGGTGACACACGCTCTACAACCCAGCGTCGATTCTCATTAAATAATTTGTTTGCTGATGAACGAATAAATTCATGAAAACAAAATATACATCAATACATTATCGAGTAGAAATACGACGGCTACACCTTAGCGATTACTCTTTATACTGACTACAACAGCATCGTTTTACACTTGACAGTGACACCAAAAGTGCCAGCGATTGCACCCTCTCCACAAAACTACAATGATGTACAACAAATGGGCAGTTCCATAGAACACTGTGCCCAGTTTTATCACCAACAAAATCTGCATGTGAAAGCAGCTAGCCATGGGTGTGAAGCGCACACGGCTGTGTAAGCACAATAGCTGTGTCTGGCCTACGCTTGCCAACGGAAGCAATTGTTCTACGGCTCGAGGAAAACATAAGGCGGTCTAATCTCAATGCATATTAGAACAGGCTCTTAGTATCTTACTCTGGTGTAGTTAACATTCGGTTTATACATGCATTTGTATGAAAATAATCACCAGGCATTCTTCACTCTGCAGAAAATCAAGGTTGTTTTGCCATCATGTAAGTGTCAGAATGCATTTATTTCACTCACGTATCTACTGTGCACCTGATAAAGCCCACAACTATGAAAAGATATTTACTTCATAAATACTCATGTAGGCCACATAATTAGGAATTCCATGGAAATTATTTTTTATCAGCAACTCGTGAAACGCTATAAAGTTAGGTCCAGTAACAGAAATAGTCATGCAAAGTCTGAACCTAAAAAATCAGAGTGATACAAATACGGTTGCCGACTGCATTCATATACACATAATATTTTATGGAGTGCCATTTTATTAAGTGCTGGAATAAGGGGTGATTGTCAACTGAGCAAGGTAGTTCTAATATGTGAAATTTACATCTTCTCATCTTGCCATAAACTAACAGAACAGCATGAAATAATAATCAAATTTGATATTAAAACTATGTCCAAGATAACAAACTTAAACCCCTGCACAACAAAACCTCTACGTCAACTGTTATTCACGTAACACCTTGGACCGACATACACCATTGTGTATGCTTGAAGGCGCAAACGCCCAAAATAACAGTGCGCATACAACCATTTTTGTTTAGACCTATGCAATCTGGAGTATAAATCCAGATATATTTCCTGACTTTCCAAATAAGTCAGGTGGACACCATGAGTTATTTTTCCTCCCACCGCAAACCTGTAGTACATGGATGACAATATTTTGCACTGGGCGTTATTGGAATAAAGCTCACAGAATGGAGAGATCTTCCAGTTTTTCGATCGGCTGAAGACGATAGGTCCGCTTGGTTTTAGCAGCGGCTAGCATGAGCAACCTTCTTTACTTGGTGCCTGGTCGCTGTTCAAGGCATTGCCCCTTGCTGTGGATGGCTTATGTTGTACCCCCGACTCTGCAGCATTCAGATCCAAACTGAAGCAACAACAGACATTTAATTATTTTCCTCATATGAGGAGGATATAATATGCACAGGTTGATTGCAGCACAGGACCCCTCATGAAATAACTGAACTTTCATTAAACACAATCTCACATAATTCAAAGCATCGAAGTGATTATATTGGTACACTTTCATGTTGTTCGCAAATCCCAGATATGACACACACTGTAGATGCTGCATGGTGGCTGCCAGGTATGCCAGTGCGTGTTTGATTGATTTCACAGCAGCAGCCAAGAGTCAACAGATTGCACACAATGCACAGCCATGAAGTGGGAGAATTACTCACACCTCACTTACAAGCACTTTCTCAGTTTATGGCAATCCTCTACCCTATCATTCACGCACCTGCCATCTTGAATGTTCTGGTATATTTTCCTCGCAGTTTCCAAAAAGGCCTCTTCCACGTTTTCTCCTCTGAAAGGGTAAAAGTTCAATTAGCAATCTTGACAGCAAACACAACCTTACCATTGTGGCTGCTCCACATAGGAGAAATCCACCAGATTTAGCCTAGCAATCTTTTAATCTGTGCCTTGTAAAGAAACATTACTACGAGTGAAGTGCATCACATAAAACATGGGACAAGGCAGGCACTTACAATAAATTATTTTAATGGTCATTAACATTTATCAATTATAAACACTTACGTCTTTGCGCTAGCTTCGATAAACAACAAACCTGTAAAGTAAGAGAACATGGCACTAATAAACTGGCTTACTCATTCACTTGTCTAGCTTACACAAACACACACATTTTAGATTCAGTGATATTGAACACAAGCTAACTTTAAAGACACTCCCAAAATAAAAATATAAATAAAATCTTAAGATATCTTATATTTCTACTATGCTGGCAGGAGAAACAAACGAATGCACACATTTCCCTAGATCAACTTGTCAATTTCAGACTTCAGAGAGACATTCAATATCCAAACATAATAAAATGTTGTGTTTAAATATTTCCCTAACACATTCAGATTATATCGCTGATGTGTTACAATCACTATGTAAATTGCTTACAACACAAGCAAAACATTGTCGAGCTACACCTCATCTGAGTCGTCAACACCGCACATTCTACTGAGTACTGTACCATTTTCATCAGCAAACTGTTTGGCTTCTTCGTAAGTAACATCTCGCTGTGCATCCAGGTCCGACTTGTTGCCGATTAGGAATATCACCTGTAGTGTAAATACATGTACAATAGTACAATTGATGTAGAAATAGATCATAGATAAACGGACACCTTTTATTCATTTAATGACAGCAAATAAGACAGACGATTTGCCTGTCAAACAAAAACGATTCTATCAAAGACCCACGCAATTTTACTGCGATGAAACGTACCGTGTTGGGGTTTGTTAGATTTCTAGCGTCAGTTAGCCAACTGGACAGGTGGTTGTAGGTACTTCGTCTGGTAATGTCGTATACCATCAGAGCTCCGGCTGCACCGCGGTAGTAACTTCGCGTGACAGCGCGAAATCGCTCCTGCCCGGCTGTGTCCCATATCTGCAATTTTATTTTCTGTCCCGACACTTCAATTATCCGCGTGCCAAACTCGACTCCTATCGTGTGTGGACAGTCGGCCATAACTGAAACAAAAAGATGTCACAACTGTGTCGTTTATCACACGATATTGGTAGCTTATTCCATGTTGTGGCATGTGCCGCCCTCTCAAACCCTGCTTGGATACCAAATAGTCAGAGACTGGACCACAATTGCAAAGGTTCGGTGCTCTGTTACCACAATGAACTACATTGCCTGTCCATGAGCACGTTTGCGGTATTAAAGCATTACGACATTTTCTGAAAAGTAAATTTTGAAATCCAGCCCTCGACACTAACGGTTGTCCAATTGGCAGGGACAAGTGAAAGTCTACGTCGGACAAGTTATTCTCTTGGCTAATTTCCCGATTGGACAACTAAAAAATTGTGTGACCGATTGTTTCAGTCGTGTGGGGCATGTTCATTACTGAATATGTAGGGGGTGGGCACCGCTGGTATGAGAGAGCGACAGCAAAACTCTTTCCTGAAATTGAGATAAAAGCTGCAAAATGTTAACAGTCAACAAATCCATGTTTAACCCTCCTCTTGAGGGTCAAAAGGTTATCCGACACTTACTCTTCGCATGTCAGCGAAAAGTACATTTCATGGTCCTTTCAATAAAGCCATAAAAATGGTAGGTCACCGCTGAAACAAAAAGTTTTTCAATCGCTCCGTCAGACCATGTCCTCAGAAAATGTCTAAAATCTGCCCTGTGCCCCATTGACCTTTGACCTGTGACCTCCAATTTTGGCACAGTGATACACCGACTATCACGAGCCTAGGTCGAGCCGTTTAGATTTGTGCCGCAATTCTGCAAATTTCCTCCCTATACCTTAAGTTAAGGAGGGAATGTTCCCTTCTTTTACACCTCTTGACCTTTGACCTTTGACCTTTGACCCCCCAGCTTCGACATCCCAACTCGTTTTCGGATTACCCCCAATATTGTGACCGTACGTCGAGCGGTTAAGATTTGTGCCCAACTGTTGACGGACGCACGGACGCACTGACAATCATGCGATTCTACAAGCTGCATCTGACTATGTCAGATGAGCTAAAAATAAGCACCAAGGCCTGAAATCTTAAGAAAATTTCAATTAAGACTAAGAGATATTCATGTATGATAAAAGAATTCCAATATATTTATGTATGTGTAAATTTGCAAACTGGATCGGTTTATTCAAATTGTGTAAAAATTTATGCATTTTAAAACATGTCTAAGATAATAAAGCAAGAATACTTACATTTCTTCTCCGTAAACTGATGCAATAGACATGACTTGCCAACGCCCATATCACCAATTATTATATACTTGAAAATATACGAGTAGTTGTATGGTCCGGCAGCCATGGTTACTTCTGATGGGCTCCGAGCAATTACTGAAACTGAAAAGTAAATGGGCAGAGTTCATGAGAGAATGGTAATTGATAAATAAAACCCAATCTCATTTCATACGATTGAACACAAACATATACTATAGCCTCTCTTCTTCTATATTACTAATTTAATTGGTGTAGAGTAACATCTACGTTACAAAGTTGTTGGTGTTAATTCGAACTGCAACCATCAAGGTGGGTGTGACAGAGGTTTCTGCACCACACAATTTAGCATACGTGCTGGGCCATACCATGCTTGACTTGTCTCCCGCATTAGAAAGTATGCGACACATTTATTTGTTAAAGGGTTTATTGCAAAATTATTGCTCAGAAAGGATCAACCTGAAAAAAATATAGCGAAATATAGTCTCACCTCACAGCAGATATATTATTGATTACATCAATTTGAAAAACACTAAGAATTTATGCAGTAATATCATTGAAAATTGGATTTCAATACATCCTATTGAATCACTAATTCAAACAAGAGCCGCAGAGCGTCTGGGCTCATCTCAGGTATGTTGCAACGGTTATAAACGTAACATTTAAGTCGTGCGTAGTGACACCTTTGTTAGGTGCAGATATGCAGATACGCAGTTGCGTACACATTATTTCAGCAACCTTCTGCATTCTGCATACCTCCCAAATCCCATTGGTTGATACAAATCGCGTGCCTGAAACTCCTGTTTTATGGTGCATTATGACCCTAACCATAACCCTATTAAAAAAAAAAATTAATTGTTGCAAAAGTTATTTGTTGTTATTAAATTGTTGTAAATAAATCATGTAAATATTTGCGTTAATTGGAAAAAAAATTGTTAAATGGATAAAGATAGAAAAATACAGAAAACAGGTAAATAATACAAAATCTGATGGGATTCGATCCAACGACCTTTGAGCCGTGACGCCTGCGGTGTAGGCGTTCGGCTATCCAGGCTTATTGGCTTTCTAGATTATGGATGTGCCATGAATATGAGAACACTGTGACATCATTGAGGCAGTTCAGGAATCCATATTTAACCCTTCTCTTGAGAGTCAAAAGGTTATCATACACTTACTCTTCGCACATCAGTGGAAAGCACATTTCATGATCCTTTCAAAAAAGTGATAAAAATGGTAGGTCAGCGCCGAAACAAAAAAGTTTTCCACTCTGTCCATTAGGCCATGTCCTCAGAAAATGTCTGATATGTGACCTTTCCCCCACTGCCCTTTGACTTGTGACCTCCAATTTCGCACTGGTGATGGGTTTCCTGCCCAGCACACTATACACCAAATATTAAGAGCATAGGTCAAGCCGTTAGGATTTGTGCCGCAATTCCGTATTTCCTTCTATACCTTAAGTTAAGGGGAAATATTCCCCCTCCGTTTACACGTCTTGACCTTTGACCCTTGACCCCCAAATTTGTCATCCCGAGTCCTTTTTAAAGATGTGCGTCAAGCTGTGTATTATGTTATCCTCACAGAATGATTGGATTATGTTGGAGTAGAAATTCACAGTAATCCACATTAATATTCAGTCTATGAAATTGAAGTGGGTCTGATCATGCAAGCAATACTGCCACTGGCATTACTGTTTCTTTCTGAGGAAAATTTAATTAAGATTCTGATGCAACTATTAGCATTGATATTACAACACTATCACTAAAACAAGAGAAACTGTGCCACTCTTGCTTATTACTAACACTGTAACAGTAACAGAGTGGTGCGCAATGCGTGCACGAAGCAGAGTACAGACTACACACTCACTCAATGACTCATTACCCGACCAAGCTGTGTGACTAACGTCAATATACAGGGGTAGTATTAGGGGTCGTACAGGGTATACAGGATCGTATTCTAACCCTAGCAATACCGTTTCTTGGAGCTAACTCACTCACAGTGTTACGAGTGTACAGTACTACAGTACAGACTACAGAGTACAGTCTACAGTACAGAGTAGTAGTACTAGTAGTAAGTACATAATCATGGCATAATCATAACATACGTTGGCATAATCATCAGTATGTTGATGGTGGCCAATATAGCGTAGAAGTAGAAGTACGGTACACCAAGTTGACCAACCATATTGCACAAGTTTTAATTAGTAACTCTCGTGTTTTTTCCCCACATACGCACTTCGAATAATTCCACATTACTCCACTCTCTCTTCTAGATTTATTCATGGTCATGCCCACAAAGCTAGTTAAACTTACGTTTCTTTCTTTAATAAACACTCCTACATACGAGAATCAATATGGCGAAGCCCTTAATATTTATAGACCTCTCGGAGATGTGTTACACTGACTTTAAAGTATTTTGCACTAAGATTGTAATAATTCAAACACTTCTCACTCAGTATGTTTAAATATGAAACAAAATATGATAGTAAAACTGTATAACTATAAATGTATGAATATTTTACACAGACTAAACCAGACAGTCAGTGAGACAGCACGGTTGTCAACTCCTTGATCAACAGTTGAGTATGAGAGTTATGACTCATGGTTATTGCGCTTCGTAAATAGTTGTTTTTCTGTGAAATTCGTATTTAAAACAAATATACTGCAATTAATATAATTTATATGTCATAAAATGGTTTTATAATATAAATTTATAAAATTTTGCATTGCTTTTCACCTGAACGGATATTTTATAGATGGCGCTTTAGTCTAAGCACATACACTTAACATGGCAGCCCCCTTTGAAATAAGTGGGATGGGCCAGAAAATATCTATATCTGATGAACACCATAGATTGTGGAAGTCTATCTCTCTAACGCATATAGAATATTATGCAGGCATGTATATTGTAAACATTTTGCATTTTTAATATTCGATCATATTTGACAATTGTGAGCTGTTACAATTGTATACTAAAATTTGGTTCAAGTTACCCCTCTTCGTTTAATTGATATTGTCACCGCTGGCAGCAAGAATAAGCCCGCACGTACAGCACACACGCCGCCATTGACTATAATAACAACTGTTGTTATTAATAAGTACTGTTGTTATTATAGTCAATGGCCGCGTGTGTGCTGTACGTGCGGGCTTGTTCTTGCTGCCAGTGATTGTCACTAGGGCTGAGAGGGTCTAACCCAAACTGCATGCAGCGCCCCCTTCCCACACTCAGGATATACCACTGCCACAATGCTAGAACTATTTTTACAGTGGGCGGAGCTCCGGGGAAATCCAGCAAATGGCAAGCCAACGGCCGCGAAGTCGTCGCTGAACAAAACATTAGAAATTTCTATGATTTGCATGTTTGTTGGTGGACAAATTTAGATGTTTCAAGCTGAATACGCAAAAATGTATCAAAGACAATGTTCGAGAATTAGGTATATTGGCAAGCATCCCGAAAATTCATGATAAATACGTGAACTTAGTTTAGTAAACAGCGTAATGATTTGAAAGTAGTAAATGGGCGCACTATTTCGTATCACTATTTTATCAAATTTCTCATGAAATAATGATCCGACTTTTATTATCTTTGCAGCTTTTATAAGTACACACCCTATTACATAGGACAGGAGTAACGGGGTCGCTGTAAAACTTATAGTAAAAAAGCGTAAGAAATTCTTACGGAAATCAGCTTGTGGCAGTGGTAGAATTGAGCCAGAGCGAGAGCGCCATCTGTCGTGGAGTTTGGGTCTAACCGTCTATGTCCCCTGGGGTACTGCCGGAACTAGTCCGAGATTCCTCTGACCAATGCCCACACCGACGATTTTGGTGGTTTTGGTGTGGGTTAGGGGTAATCCACTAACGAGTCTAGGGTGTCGCCTACGCCTACTCCCTAACCCTAACCATATCAAATAGGGACCAGGGTACGTTCCGGCAGTACCCTGGGGGACATAGACCCTATGAGCGTCACTAGGGTCTAGACTTGGGGAAATCCGCGGCTCAATCCTAGTTTATCACCCTGGATTAGTTTAGGGCATGCCACAAACGATATATATTCCAGGATCCCAAACTATGATTGAGCAAAATCAGCTCATTGAAAGAGACAAGAAGAGTAAGTAGTGCATTAACTCGATAAAGCACTATTACTATTAGCCACTATCACGGATATGACTAGCTCTAGTACTATAGCCCTTCGCTCCGCGCTAGGATACGACTGGCTAAAATGACGAATCTTTGTAGAAGTTTCAGATTACTGTATAAGCTGTATATTTTGCAGTGGTTTACTTTTCGTGAATTTCGCGAACGCGTCCCTGACGCGAAAATAACAACACGCAAAAAATATATACTTCATATCGAATAATTCATAATTCACCGACCGCGAAATTAACCACACGCGAAATTGTCCGTCAAGTATGAATTTACGAAAATATCTGTATGCGAAAAATATGGAGTATACAGTACTCTATTAAACCCAACTCACTGTCTATATTCCTTTGATTTGTCAAACTTGAAGATTGCATGATTGTGCAGCCCAAACTGTAACGAGAATAATCTAGTTGTCATATTTTAACTATGTCACTAGTAAGTCACCTTGCAAGCACAGTGTTCGTTGAGGCCGCTGAATTGTTCGACTTATCCAAGCTGCGGATTTCCAGTTGAGTAGAGAAGTCTTACGATTGGGTGTTTTAAACACACTTAAACAGGAAATTATGCAACTTACTACCTGCCAGTTTTGGAGCATCTGGTTAAAGTTTGTATTACAAGACTTGTGCTCAGAAATGCTTAAACCGAAAAAATATAGCGAAATATCGTCTCACCTCACAGCAGATACATCACTGATTACACTAACTTGAAAAACACTAAGATTTTATGCAGTTATAGCATAGAAAATTTGATATGAAGACATTGTAACACACTGAAATTTTATCGTGCTGGGACACCGTCAAAATGTGTGAACTTGTATTTTGTCAGTGCAAACGAGATTTTGCGAGAGACGTGTAAGTCTATGGACAATAGCTGGCGTGAATCGCGTTACTAACTGGTCCAAGATTACAAGAAAAGGCTTGCTGGTAATCGAACTTGCATAGTTTGGTGAATACGAAGGTTCTAATACATTTTATCATTACTCTAGACAGTTGCTGTTACTCAAGCAATAACGGTAGGTAATTAAATGGCAATAAAAGTGGGGAAAACACTTGATAATTCTCAAAAATATGGCTTTAATTAATTAACTAGAATGCTAAACAAGTCGAAGAATTAAAAAGTATTAAGCCTACTGATTTTACTTTTGACAGCATGTAAATCTCCACTTTGTGGAACACACAATAGGCTGTACAATGGCTAAGCATCCATGACATTGATTAAATTATAATATCTAATAGAAATTTAATCCCTAAACTGAAATGTCCAGTACATAATAGAAAGATGATATAGGGGCTCATTATTATTAATTATTTTGTATGTAATATTTAATAAATAATAATATTAACATGCTTAACAAGTCCAATCTATAAATTAGTTGCACAAACTGCCCATACTCTAAAATCCCTAATTTGTGCAAGATTTAAAATTTGCGAACAACATACACTACATAGTTGACTGCAATGCAGCCAAACAAGAGTTATGGTTGGGTTAAAGCCATATATCGACTCAATCAACGTTATAAAACGTAGAATGATTTTTAATTTCCAGGTGATATAATTGGATTTCTATTAGCATGGATCTGCCTGTTGCCTCTAGCTCTTTTGGTTGGATTTGTCACGCTCATACTGTTCCGGAGGGATCTTCACACAGTATGTATTTTAGTATATTTTTAAATTGAAATATTTTACTTGGCTTAGCTCAAAGAAACTGACAAGCTGCATGCGAGTAGTTTTTCGCATATTATGTGTGCGCTTGCACATGTGCATTTATGCTTTCCAAATGAGCATTTATTATATACTGGTTATGTTACTTGTAGTTATAATGATGTATTCTTTCATGTCCTGTATCCAAATATATTGATCAGCATATAGATATCTATTATATCAGTCGTGAAATGGTGTATATAGACATTTATAATTAAAGACAATATTTCAATTACTGCTCCTATACTTTGGGTTTTTAAATAAAAATTTATATAGTTATTTTTTTTCATTTCAGTTGTCATTCTTTGTTGGTCAGCTATGTTGTGAAGTAGTGGGTTTTGTACTGAAGAACATTATTCAAGAGAGTAGACCATCATTCCACAGTAAGTCTAATACTCATGCATATAGAATTATGTAGTAGGCCTAGATATATAAATAGTTATCAGAATTTTGATAGTTTTTGTAAATTTATATAACAGATTCGACAATTTTAGTAAAGGTAACTTGGAGCAATAAAAGTCAGACTAAATTATTTGAAATACCTCTTGCATATTTGTTACAACCTCGATTTATCTTGGCGTATATATGCATGCATATTTCTCATTCAGATCATGGAACAACATTCACACATTATGGAATGCCTTCTAGCCACTCCCAGTTCATGTGGTTCTTTGCAACCTACACACTGTTTTTCTTATTTGTCAGGTAAGTTGATCATTATTATTTCCCTATCTAACATGGTATAGCTGCTATGGTTCTAGCTTGTAACTAGCTATGGTTTCGCTTGCCATACCCAAATAAGTTTAATGTATCCTAGAAACCAAGGACAAGGATATTCTAATTCTGATCAAATGCAATGGAATTAGATCACACGTGCAATTATGTATGGTCCTGAGATGTGTGTGCGTGCAAGCGTGTGAGTGTCCTACTGTATCTGATTGAATACTTTCATACTGTTTCATCACAGTGTTTCTTTTACATTCAGCATTGATGTAACACATGTAAGCGTAAACACATCCATGGTTAAGTTAAATAATGGCAATTCTCTGCATGATTTTTTCTTGAAGGTTGCGACGAACAGGTAATTTCGTTACGGACACGGTGTGGAGAGCAGGCATCGTAGTTGTAGTGTTCCTGGCTGCTTTTCTCGTATCTTATGGCAGGTATGCTATTTCAGTACAGCTCATCTTGAGACATTAACACATTCAGTGCACTAGTATTGTGAAATTGAAGAAGTTACTTATCAAACCTTGCAGAATCAGTAGGATGAATGTTTTCAAATAAGTGAATGCTTGTAATGTGGTTGTCAGTAAGTCATTCGCTTACTGTGTTTATATTTATAGGTTCTAATCAACATTTTTGTGTGGTATTGCAGAGTTCATCTTCTGTACCACACTAGTCAGCAAGTGTTCTGGGGTGCTGTGCTAGGAATTCTGTTGGCAATTATATGGTTTGCTGTTGTTATGCTGGTGCTGACACCTCTGTTTCCAACAGTTGCTTCGTGGTATGGAAGGATTTGTTATTAATTCATAAAACTAGTCTACTCCTAGATTAACTCTATCACTTAGTGTTGGCATCAGTGAACAATGCATATGTGTGCTAAAAACCAGTAGAATTTGTTGTTTAATTTGTAGTGCAAGCTGGTCATACCTGTGTGCCGTTGAAGCAGAGGTGCGAGGGGTGGGGGTCCTTCTAATTCACTGATTGGCAGAGTAACATCTTTGGACTGAGTTGAGAAGCTAATTATGATTTGGTTGCAATCTTTTCTTATTCGTGATTGAGATTTGTTCATGTGTGTCACGTGATTGTGGGATCAGCCACATGGACGTTTGGAGTCAATCTAGTGTACAATAGTGTGCACCTATTTTAAAGAGCAGCGGACCAGCATCATGTGTGCTATATATATATGTGGGAACATCACGATCATGGTGTGTAAATTTGTTTTATGTCCTCAGGCCTGTGTCAGAGTTCCTGATGATCAGAGATTCAACGCTGATACCAAATGTGATGTGGTTTGAGTACACAAGCACTCGGACAGAGTCAAGGTAAGCAGCGATAATAACTGCTCTTTACCTAACGATATACTCTGGCTTCGCATTTATACGTGGCCTTGTTCCTATGGTGGCCCTATAGACCACCCTATTCAGTTGTGTGCGAGAAACCTTGTGGACCTTGCTTAGGCTCATCCTAGACTTTAATAAGTCAAAAGTGATGTCTGGTCGCCCATGCATATTTGGTGTTGCTGAAATTTTTATGTGGAGTGAAATGGCTCTGACCCTACCCACTACATCCAATGGCCCACATTCAAGCACCATCCAAGTCCCATACATGTCACACACAGTTATCCAAGTAAATATAAGTGATAGTGAAATTGTGCACAGAATATACTTTTTAGATGCAACCCCATAAGTTAGAAGAATGTAATGAAACTTATGTAACTTGGAACTAGTTGTTCATTTCTACCTACCCTTTGCTGAGATTGAGTCGAATGTTTATGCCAAAGCTCTGGGGCCTGTTGTCAGAAACAAATTTAATCTTAACTTTAGCCTTTTCTATTAGACTGTTGACAGGAACATCGTAAAGTTGTGCATTGCAAATTTCCTCATACTTTTACAAAATAAACTTTTGTCAATGGTTTAAAGGAAAAAGTTAATGTTGAGCCTAATTTTGTTTCTGACAATAGGCTCCTTGAGACTAACCCTGTCAAACTAAACCACTTAGTGCTGACCCAAGCCTGCCATTCACGTTTATATCTTGTCCCAAACTATAATGCTGAAATCCATTGTATGCTTAACTTATTTCAGAGCAAGGCAGAGGAAGTTGGTAACTATGAAGTCGCAATGACGCAATCGTCGGACCTGATTTCTGGCCAGAGCTGTAACTGCAGCCTGGCCGCGGCAGTGACCTCTAGTGCAGTAGTGGGAAGCGAGTCTCATGGCAGGCAAATATGATTTATTCACTCGAAACAATTCTCTGCTGACAACACTAACCACAGAGGGTTGGCTATTATGTGTTTACCTGTTGAGGGTTAGAGACAGATGTTTAAGTGCTCTTTTGCACTTATGGATGTTCAATTGTTCACAAGGGTGTAATTACATTTGAATGTGTTGCCAGATAATCTTACAATTATAAGCTATAATTGTTTATCACATGGTAAAAGAACATGCCATTCTACAGAAATGCAAGGATTTATCTTTGTTTCTAATAAAGGACCAATATTTTGATGAGGGCTAGTCATGAAAGTGTATCACCTCATATATTATAACCAGGGTCAGTGTTGTTGGAGCAACTGGTGTGTACTCAAAAGCAAGAGCAGTTAGTTAGTGGAAAATTCAATACAGCATATTGTTAGATGACATCTTCTCTCTTCTTCTGAATACGAAGTCGATTTAGCAGAGGTGGTGGAAGATGTATGAGAGGAGCAGATGCTAATCTTTTGGTGGTGCTATCATGGCTATTGCATACGTGCTGCTGTCTTTGCATTTAATAATGTTGTTGCTAATTTTAGGTGTTGTACGTTGGTAGACAGTTGATGTGATAGAATTTGCTGTAGGTAGTAAATGTCAGAAATACGGAATTTATTGTTCAGGCTACTCACTAAATATTAGTATGAGTCCCGTATGAATCCTAGCTTGCTAGAGTCATGCTGAATGAGATTTTATATATATATAGATATATAATACAATGAGTTATAATGCAATGTCATTGTGTGTTTATACCCTTCCAACAGGCCCGTAGCCAGGGTGGGTTCGGGGGGTTCGAACGACCCCCCCCCAAGCCCTCCCCCCAAGCCAAAAAATTTTTTTTTTTAAATTTGCAAGAATTTCACCTCAGGCTCGCTCCATTTTAGTGTAATAATTGCAAAATCTCCATCCGCGTGCGCGGAGGGTGAACAGTGAACACCCCCCTCCCACACCCTCTCCCCGCTCGGTCGCTTCGCTCCTGCCTGGTCGCTCGCGCCCGAGCAGGGGCGTGTACAGGGGGGTCCAGGGAGTCTGGACCCCCTTGCTCGCGCAGAAACGGCATCTGAGGGGTGTAATTTTAAAAAAATTCCCCCAGACCCCCAGGACCCCCTTCCCCTTCGCGCTGCTCCAACTTTGGGTTACGGTTAGACCCCCTCTGGTACAATCCTGTACACCGCCCTGCCGAGCAAATTGCCAACATTGAAAACGAACCCCCCCCCCCCCAATAAAGCTGGCTACGGGCCTGCTTCAACACACCAATGCTACAAAAGTAAAATTTTAATTGCGTGGAAAATGGCACCTTGCCGCATACTATTCATGATCAGCATGGACCCCCTGCCCCTCGCTATCAAAATTGACTTCCTGATTCTGGTCAGCCAAACTGCTCTATTTCAATAGGTGGTACTTGTCATGTATATAGATTTATATATATATATATATATATATATATATATATATATATATATATATATGTAGCCTTTCTCACTACTAACTTACCTAGTAGGTTAAGAGTGCACCCACAGGATCAGCTTTTTTTTAAAGGCTGTGCAAGAGAACTCGTAACCAACGGATGCATGTTTGTTCCAATGGGTGTAGAGGCCTGAGAATCTTTTCAGTTAGTATACATAGCTTGCTCCTCAAGGGAATCACTCGCATTGTTCAATCAATACGAACGTTAGTGATGGCTTTTGTGGTTTTGAAATGTTTCAGTCTGTTTGCAGTATTTGATATACAGTGTTTTATGCATTTAACCTAGTCGTGCGGGAAATCAACATCGGTTTCGATAATTTATTTATGTGTAGAAGCAATATCTAAATTAATTCTATCTAATTCTAGAATATTTTATTAACTGGTGTATTTTATGAGTGTTATAAGCATATAATTGTGTATCTTGATATATAATCTATAATAGGTTAAAACAGCATATAGTTTTTATTTTCCTCCAAAGGTCTACTGATAAATATTTTCCTTCATTCCGCTGGAATTAACTGTTACTCCTTACATACCTCTTCATACTTTAGTAATTTGTTTCTAGAGGCGAAATGTTTCGTTAGCTCCTGAATGGTAGCAGTTGAATATATTCTCCTGTATGTCTGAATTTTCTCTAGGTCGCTTACATGCCTTCTTCTGCTAAGAAAGCTATAGATCAGACGTAAATATCAGACAAAGAAATCTGTCAAGTATGGTTCTCAAGTATAGAAGAATTATCTAACATTCTTATTTATATGTACTTGTTTAATATTGTGAATGCTGCGTGCGTTTGTCTAGGTAACGATTATTTATATGTGGTTAGTGTGTTAACTGAACACACGTTAAATTTAATTTTTTGTTTAGGTAGAAATAAATTATCGCCATTTTGTTTACATGAAATATTCCTTTTTTGAGAAGTCTGTCTTTGTGAACATTGGGGGTCGCATACGGGTTGGAACTTTGCGCAGGAAAGTAGCCTTGCAAATGAGGCGTGGTGCTGGTGTGCGTTTCTCCATATGGTCACTGATGTCAATATAGCGAGAGTTACCACATAATAAAGAGTTACATACGTCAATGATACATATTAATAAGAATTCATTTCATAGAGATGATCCGAGCAAGATTTATTGCCAGAATAGTAATAGAGTAAGACGGGTGTGAAAATCGAACAGTAAAGCTAGCCAGCCACTCACCACAACACCAACACTGCTGTTCCCTTATGTCAATGTATTGATTGTTCATGAGCGATGAAGTATTTTTCCAGTTTCCCTCCGTGCAATAAGTAAGTATGAACATATACATATAAGAACGCACGTTCACTGGCTGTAATTTGTAAATTGCCCTGCGATGCCGAAGTCGATAATTAATTTAAATATCTCTCGGTCTACATTGAAGGCTTGTATGCTGTTATTTGAAGCTACACACTCGACATTTATGAGCGCTATGGTCCTTTCACGTCCCGCACTGCACCGACACGTGCAGTAGCGGTATTTTTTACTTTCATTTTTCGAACGTTCCTTTGGCATCTGCAAAGCGTCTATACAACGTGCGGTGTACCGGGGGCAGCCCTATAGACCGAAGGTCCGATAGACCGAATGTTGCAAAGGGTTAGGGTTAGAGTTAGGGTTAGGGTTATGGTAAGGGCATATATATGGTTTATAGTGGCATCGGTGGATGTGCGGCATATTCACGTTCGAATACGGCATCAGTGGATGTCCGGATGCGTAGCCTGGAGGCTAAGCGACCGATTCCGGACGTGTAGCCACTGCGTATTCGAATAAACCTTCGGTCTATCGGGCCTTTGGTCTATCAGACCTTTGGTCTATACTATAGGACTGTAACCGGTGTACCTGTTTCCCGAGGGAAATTCTACAGTGACAGAGTATTATATCAAGAGCTCATAATATTATGAGCTCTTTATTATATCAAGAGCATATATGTTCTTATACCTTCTTTATATGCTCTTGATTATATATATCATACCCATATGTACACTACTCAACCGACTTTATTTCTACGTTGCGTGATGTTTACGCATGTTTTGAAGCGACAGGCTTGGCACGACCTCTTGATGTGGTACAGGAGAAACTGTCTGATCTGGCGGACATAGGCGCCTCAACTTTACTGCCAACGTTCTCTGAATGATTATATGCAATTTAACTGTCGTTACTTAGATTCATATACATGTACTTTTGTAGACCAAAATATTGTGTAGTAGGATATATACAACAGCAGCATAACAGCAAAATGAACTCGACAACAGATCACCTGGCAAGAAGACGTGTAGATAAATACCGCTTTGGTGACTCACGTCTATAAAGAAAGACAACTATTCAGCTACGAATGAAGCGATGATAATAATATGGCATCTGTACGCGTGTGGTAAAGAGTAAAAAAAAACACATGCATACGCATGAACGCGCCCACGCACGCATTCATGCAAGTTCTAAATGTTTAATAAATGCCATCCTCCACTATTTGTATATATATATATATCTATATATATATATATCAGTGGTACGAGCACGTGTGTGTGCACGTGTACTCGCGCAATTGTTTGTGCATGCGTGTGTGCGCGTACGCGCGTGTGTATGCGTTTGTGTGCATGTGCGTGCATATATACATACATATACGCATATACATATAGAAGAGATCTCACCTTGGTTATTGGCGATCTGAAGCTCATAGGGTCTATGTCCCCCAGGGTACTGCCGGAACGTACCCTGGGTACGGTCCGGTATACCGGAACGTACCCTGGTCACATATTTGATATGCGTTGAGGCGTTAGGATTTAAGGGATTATGGTTAGAGCGTTCGAGTATGGGAGTATGGCGGTAGACGACTCCCTATAGACTCAGTTAAGTGGAGTTAGGCGAGGGCTACGCGGTCACGGCAATATTAGATAGTACCGGGGTACGTTCCGGTATACCGGACCGTACCCAGGGTACGTTCCGGCAGTACCCCGGGGACATAGACCCTCTCAGCCGATCTGAACGCCAAGGTAGGTCCAGACAACAGAGACAGAGAAATGGGAGCGCACGGGGAAGGTACCATCAACGAGAACGGAGAGCTATTCTGCGATTTCTGTGCGTCAAATGGACTTGTAATTGGCGGGACTCTTTTCAAGCACAAGAAGTCCCACAAGCTCACATGGAAATCCCCATATGGAGTGACAGAAAATCAGAGCGATCACGTGGCCATCAGCAAAAGGTGGAGAATTGCACTTCAGGATACAAGAGTGAAACGTAGCGCAGATGTAGGGTCGGATCACTACCTAGTCATCGCTGAGATCAGGATGAAGCTGCAAGTTCTAAAGAAAGCTAGATCTATAAGGACGAAATATTGTACGGCTAAACTGAGAGACCAACGAGTAACGGACGAATTTTGTAATAGCATTGGCTAATAAATACGAAGCATTGTGCAACGCCGATGACAGGGCATGGCAACACCGACCTCGAATTGGAGGAAGACTGGAGACGAATCAAGGAGATGTACACCACTACCTGCGAGGAAGTGCTAGGCAAGGTTAAACAAGGAAAGAAGGAATGGATGAGCGAAGAAACCTGGAAACTTGTCGACGAGAGGCGCCAATTAAAGGCAAAGATGGAGAATGCTAAAACGAGGAACCAGAAGCTGACAACAACACGCTTGTATCATGAGAAGAACCGTGAAGTGAAGAAGAGTTGCAGAAGAGAAAAGAGAGCAAGAATTGACAACATTGCTCATGAAGCGGAGGAGGCAGCAGAGATGAAAGACATGAAGAAAGTATACGATACCACGAGGTTGTTGAGCAGGAAGAGAAATATCCAGAGTAAGCCAGTTAAGGACAAGAAGGGTGTGTTCCTAACCAAGATCTAAGAACAGCTTAATCGATGGAAAGAACATTTTAAAGAGATCCTAAACAGACCGGCACCAGAGACCTCCTCGAGGGCTCCCCACTCAACATCAGAACAGGACCAATCACTACGGCAGAAGTCAAGAAAGCGCTAAAGACCTTGAAGAATGGGAAGGCAGCTGGATGCAATAACATCCCTCCTGAAGCCTGGAAATAAGGTGGTTGGGTCTCTGTCAAGGTGCTTCATGCTCTTTTGAATAAGATCTGGAATGTCGAAGTAAGTCTGGAAGGTCTTTTGGTAAATCTCCCGAAGAAGGGTGATCTTGGTGACTGCACGAACTGGAGAGGGATCATGCTCCTCACGATAGCCAGCAAAGTACTTAGTAAGATCATTTTGTTAAGACTATCCTAACGAGAATCGAGAAAAAAAGAAAGAAAGATATATATATATGTATATATGCGTTCGTGTATGTGTGTCGTGTGATATATGCGTGCGTACACCTGTGCGTGTACTCTTTCGCACACACATGCGCATGGGCATAATTCTCATCACGCAGTAATTATCTGTATACAATACGTACCATAACAAAAGTTGTTGCGGATTACTTCTGCATGAATATCACCCATACTTTGTAATAAAGGATTTCACTTAAAACTAATAACAAGTTTTACAAGTAATCAACAGTAATAAAGTTAATCTAATTGGCAATAACGGTTCAAATTATTGCTTTGGCTGTGCTTTATACAATTCAACTACGCACTCTACATTCCATATGTATCTTCTATACACACCGCTAATCATGGGCGGTACCTTAACAATAAAGGTAAGGTAACCTGAAGGTAAGCACACTCATGGACAGGTAAGAAAAATGGTAGCTGCACAGGGCAGCTACTCCAGCAATTGATCAGAGAAGATCAACAGTGAAAGCGCGCAATTTTGCAAACAAACCGAACGATGATGCCAGATCGGCTCACACTCTAGGTACTACGGACATCTATCACTATATTTGCCCTTCCTAAACACGAGCGACATCTATACCGATTAGCAACTGCCGAAACTCTGACGGAGACAACAAAATCCGTTTGCTCTCGCCTCCCATAGGAGCCTCAGTAAGATGCGGGTAACAATGATGATTGCGCCCTCCGCCAACGGAGAGAACGCGTCGATGTGAACGGCTTGGCATAATGCTCACGTACTTCATAGGCCGTCGTACACGCAAGCAACGAAGATGAGCATTGAGATCACGTCGAAAACAAGAAAAACAACTCGGAGACGACTATAGTTATTAACTGGCCGCAACGATAAACGATGGGCCGATACACACAACGTATGTACACAATAGTTATTACTCGTGACGACCGCATGGCAGCGCTCGTGCGCTTGACAGCTTTGGACGCGAGGATTGCTGTCGGCGGGTGACCCTATGTCAATTCCTGCATGAATGCCGAGCTACTTCACGGCTAACGACCGAAAATGCAACGTCATCGCGAAAGCGTCGTTGGCGCCGAACTGAGAAAACTGCAACTGTGCAAACGCTTCACGCTATTTGTTTACACGCTTCCCGCGTCGGCACTGCAGTCTGCGTAAACCCTAGATGCATAGATGTCGTGCGTCAGCTAGCAAGACTTCTGTTCGTTGCGAAAGCGATTAATCACCACGAAAATGCGAAATATGTGGCGCGCAGTCTGCGCGCAGCAACGTCAATGTTCGCATTCCGTTTCCATCTCCCCGGTTGGAGCCGGGGAATGGCCGCCCTGCTTATCAATACCAACTTCCATACGACCTTCGTGCGACCTCCGCGGGTAATACGTCAACACGCTTCTCTTAGAAAATATTATTATGAACACAGAGGCACCCCAAACTGTTTTTTTTATCCGCGACTTTGATGAACAACATAGCAATAGGGTACGTGCTTACCTCGTTGCCATTATTTTTGCCGTTCAATCAGCGAAGCGACGATGACACTGCCGCGTTGGCACAACTCTATACGCTCTTCGTTGCAAAGACCGCGTACAATACACTGCATGCGGTCTTTCGAATAGCGTGTTACCGGCGACACCAACCTATTTAACCAATGCTATGCTGTGCAATTCTATGGCGGACGCGCTGATGCTGGTTTTCCAGTAAGACGCCAACATGGTCTTTTATCATGGTCGCGAAAAGGCGGAGAAGCGACGTCATAATGGAAGGGAGATTGATGTTGACGACGACGACGACGACGACGATGATGATGACGATGCTGATGTGGAGGCAGTTAGTAGGTCTTTTTCGGCGGCGTGTCGGTGACAAACAACTCGAGGTAGTCTTGCTCGATACGGTGGAACGAGTCGGCAATCGTCTGCGCCGCCTCGATGTGCGGCAATCCCTCTAGGGGGCGCCCGTCCACGGCCAGGATCACGTGCCCTACTTTCAACCTTCCGCTTTCGTAGGCACTGCCGTCCTTCTGAAAAATACATCGGGTATATACGCCGTCAGTCAAGGGGCTAATCATCCGATATGTCTGGGGGGGGGGATGTGGCGAATTATTTCCTTCAATCTAACTGATAATTTTAATTCCAGTTAAATCGTGACATACATCTTTTCAATCGTTTTACTTTGTCTATTGAACTTTTTTCATCCTAGCAGCTTCATTGTAAATGTTCATAGGGAAATAACACTCTGGATTTAATGAATATGTTCAGTTAAAGTAGGTTTAAATTATGCTGCATATGAAAATTTGTTGTTCAATATTTAAGGTTACCTACATGAAAACGAATAGATAGAGCCTACAGCCTACCTAATACACTATTGTTGGGATGGTCTTCGCGTCACCCATTATATGGTCTATCGATATGTTGGTAAGCGAAATGGGTTCGTTACCTGTATGTTTATTATGCGAGGCAGTGTTTGTCTGGTGTTTGCACCTCCCTCTATGGCAATGCCCAGTGTTGGTCGCACTTTTGGCACAACAATGCACTCGAACTTGAGGTTAGCATCCAATCCTGGAATCTGCCGAAAGATGCACGTTGCTAGAAACGTTCCGGTGGTATTTCAACCGCGTATACACGATCAAGTGGGGTGGAGTAGCAGGAAGTACAGACCGTAACAAGTAGAACTGACCACAGCGGCGTTATCATGCACTTACATTTGTCGGTTTTCGTCGGGTGCTCGTCGCACCGCTGCTAGAGTGTCGTTTCCGTGGCAACGATTGCGTGTGACCAACTGCCATGTAGTCGAAGCCCTATAAAATATAAGCCATGTGATCATTTAACTGCTAACTAAACTGCGATTTGAGTATCAGATATTTCACTTTCGCAATGTTCTCTGTGAGATGTCACTAGATAATGATGTAGGTCTACAAAAGGAACGACGACATCCTCATAGATAATGAGATCAAATTTAATTAAGGAACGTTGGGTTCAACAATGGGATGAAAACAACGTATGAGCAAGTATCCGATGGTTCATGTCAAAACAGCTCACTAGGTGGCAGCCACAGCGTATCGACGGGTTCTGGTAGCCCGACCAACGTACTTTATTCTGATGTATTCAGAAGCCAGACGGTGCAGAGCATCAGCTATTACTGAGAAATGCCTAGACGTAAGTATTCAGTTGAGTGCAAGATATATTTGTGTTTTCTTAATGCATTTTCCCTATAGGGCTCAACATTAAAAAACATACTGCGGGATATAGCGCACAGTGAAAATAGATCTTGAAACCTATATGCGAAACGCTTGCTATTATCATAGATATATACAACACATGAATTATTAACATATTAAATCAAATTATGAATTTAATTATGAATCATTACTAATTAATTAATAATTAATAATTAATTATGAATCATATAACATATTAACACATGTGTTGTATATATCTATGCTATTATCTACTAATGCGGCGCTATAGCTGGTTAGCAATAAATTTATCGAAACTGTCTCACTGGGGCTTGTGCAACGGGAATTCATATCCTTTTCCAAGCATGTATCTGATATCTCGACTTGAGGTTTCAATGGATTATTTGCTCTGTGATGTAAGCTATAGTATCGTCAATGGCAAGTAGCCGAGCCTACAGCTTTAAGCTAACGAAAACCTTGCCCGTTGGGTTCGTTCTTTGACCACCAATTTGTCCCCTACGCGATTCACTCAATTGTTTTCAAGATGTTCATCGTGACATTCCTTTCCTTTTCATGCGTTCTGCAGACTTCAAAGCACTTCGCATCATTGCTCTGTTTACTCTGACACCATCCCACGTATTTCAACTGGTAGCGTTTCTTTCGCCTTTACAAGCTAAAACGTCTTGAAGCTAAACCTAATTTTCACAAATGTCTGCCCACACCCCCAAAACCGGCGCTAAGTAAACATCAGCCAATTGGTTGCCAAAATATGCATGCAATGCACCTTTTTACCAGCATGAGGTCACTTATTAAAACTGCGTCTACAGACTATCAGAATACAGGAACATCTCAATTATTATATGTGTTGTTACTATATTGAACTATGCAAATGCTACATGTAAAGCAACCAGCCACATTGAATGCAAACAACTATTTTCTGTAATGACGTCAACGCTTGTAAAGTAAAGATTACGTCTCAGGAAATGGTGGCAGGTTCGAGTTTCGTTTGAGGCTCCGCCCATTAAGTATACTTCCGTGACAGTGGGTGTGCTCAAAAATTAACCTTAATTATCCTTTATAGTTCAAAGATCCCATATCGCCAGAGGCAAACGGAGCCACGGAGCGACGGCCCTAACTCGAGCGATCACATGGACTTCCCGCCATTAGGAAGATTACAGTGTCATTTATGTAGTACGCAATATTGTTTAGTTGAACCTGTTGTACAGAAATAGCTTGAACGAATTAGAACCACGCATCGAATGCTGTTTTATCCAGAAATTTGGGGTTACGTGAACACACTTCCGTGATCCAATATACTTGTTTGCCTTGAATTCATCTCTGGTCAATATAATCGTGATTATACTCTATATTGGTATTTTAATCTTGCGAAATCACACAAAAAAAATTACAACATAATATGATAAACGGTGATGAACTCATGCATTTACAGGACGGCCGTAATACGATTACACAATGAAGTCCTTATCATAATACAACAATCGTTTGTCTGGTGGGCGATCCATCAGAGTTCATGTGCGCATGAGTATCAATGCGCTTGCACAAAGCGGCCGTTTGCCGATAAACTGCTCTTATTGTTTTTCCCCAATAAATTTGTTATGCCCTTTATCCTCAGATGATTCCTGACGCATGGCATGAAGGCGAGAAGCACATTTCCACGTATATTATAGTCACCGAGTCTACATTTCATATCGCATCGCCTGAACCCGGAGAAGAGTTCGAAGTATATATACTGGTATAGTCGAAATATAGCGCTCCGAATGCCAAAGTCGAAAATCATTCCCAGGTTCTATAACAGCACACGCTTTCATTAAAAAACCCTGCACTTTCCTCACCGACCAATGCAATCTCTGAGAGCATCGGGGAGTAATTGTCGGCGGATACCGTAAGAGAGAGACCGCGTTGCGCACCGGCATCCGTTGATCATGCCACGGCAAGCGCGGGTAGCTCAATATAGTCTTCGCGATAAACGCGTCGCAAACGCGTCGACGTCGTTGCAAAGAGGTGGGGGCAGAATCAAAATCGAATTGCGCTACGGCGACGTCTTTTTGATCGCCGAAAACATTGCCGGCTTTACCGGGCAAATATCCGCGAGGATGTGACAGGCTTTCACGGCCAGCCAGATCTCATTCGAAACCATCGTGTATGGGCGTGCGATATTTTCGCCACGCTGTTGGCTGCTTCGGAGTGCCAATGAGGCCCGATAAATCGACAGCCAACGTTGTATAAACCAAATAACACGTCTACGTTCGGCGTACGTAAGCAAATAACTCATTATATAGCTGAGTAAGACGTACGATATATCTGGTCTCGGAGCGCTATATCTGGCCGCGTGAGTGAATTTGCAGAACCCTCGTGAGGCTATGTGGAGATATTCTCGGGTTGTAACCGAGGTGGGAGTCCATCCTTCGCCGTGTTTGTACTACTGATGGAAACACGACCGCCGTGACATGGCTACATAGCTGCATCTGTACGCGCAGAGCTGTTTAAACACGCTGTCAAGGCATCTCCGGGAGGCAAAGAAACATTTCAATGCCAATCTGTGACGTGTGCGTGCGTGAGTGCGTGTGCGCGTGCGTGCCTGTGCGCGCGTGTGCATGCGTGCACGAGTGCGAGCATGTATGGGGTGGTATAAGATATGCGACATTCATACACGTAACATGTGGGCACAACCACGAGGGCGATGGCGTGGATATTTCGAGACATGTTCATTACAACAGAGGCAACCATGTCTCATGAAAATTCAGCAAAAATGATCGCAGCCTGCAACTTGACTCAACCCTCCGTGGACCGCGTAATCCAATATAGACGGAACCAGAGGGAGATAAGAATAAGTGGTACACATCATGCACATGTATACATCAGTCATTCTAGCCTTGAGCTGCTGGTTTGCATGCGACGCTACACGCATCGACCAAACGCTCAATTAGCGTTCTAAAATTCCACACTTTCTTCAAGAAGGGTCGACAATGATCCGTTCTCAGCAAGATGTAATTAAATATATATGATTATAATAATTAATCATTGCAATGGATGATTTTGTGTCGCAGCTAGGTTAAAATGTTTGTAATGGATTTGTAAATAAGTGTTTATAATGGAGAGTTTCCCAACAATTAACGCTGTATTAACAACAATTAACAACCAAAATGTGGTAGTTTGTAGTATTATGTATAGATATAGTTAGTTGAGCTCATAGGGTCTATGTCCCCCAGGGTACTGCCGGAACGTACCCTGGTCACTATTTGATATGGTTAGGGTTAGGATTAGGGTTAGGGTTAGGGTTAGGCAGTAGGCGTAGGCGACTCTCTAGACTCGTTAGTGGAGTAGGCGAGGTACGGTCCGGCATATTAGATAGTACCAGGATACGTTCCGGTATACCGGACCGTACCCAGGGTACGTTCCGGCAGTACCCCGGGGGACATAGACCCTCTCAGCGTTAGTTGACCATGCAGTTCTTTCCCGGACACGGTATATATATGTACGCTAGAGAACTATAGACACTAATGGTTGCACAAACGCGGTTATGAACTAACCATCATTTTTTCCTGCTTCCATCGGGTGTGAATCATTATACACATTCATGTATTTCATCGGGTCTCAGTCGTTTTTATTGTGTTTCGGTGTTTCATTGTGTGTATGCGTGTGTGTGTGTGTGTATGACGAATGGCCCGAGTCCAACGAGTCGAGGTTTTGAAAAATAACCAGAGCGCTTTATCGCTATTAAAATCCAGACAAAGTGCCTTTCGCACAGCAGCAGTGCCCTAGGCTGAACCATTTGACCGAAGTTCAGCATGTGTGCTAACGATAGGGTTATTGCTGCAACCTCCATTCTGAAAACCACGTGCGCACACGCCGCACCAACATCTGTTTATGCGGCCGGAGATCTTTGGCAAAACGCCATCATATTGCATCAGGAGTAAGATAATATAGAAATCTATAGAAGAAGAATATAGAAGATCTATATTATCTTACTCCTGATTGCATGTGTACAGTGTATGCATGTGACTTGCAGCTCCAAAGGAGTCCATTCGGTGTTATTTTTATAATTCAGAGGACAGGGTTCACTTGGCAGTTGCTATAGGTGTGTGCGGCGCCCCGTCCACGTATAACTATAAGCGTCATGGCGGTGTAAACACGACATCCCGGGACATAAGAAAGAGACTTTGGACACGTAGATAGAGTAAGAACTATATTTTCATGCGAGCTTTGCTCGCCGCACGTGCATCAATCTCCGCCTTCGCTAGTCGCAATGGGGCGAGCTCGATTCTGATATGCGTGAGTGCTCCCGACCTAGCTGCGCCCGGGGAAACGGCCGGTTGCACCGTCCGCCGCGAGTTTTGTGTGCCAACTCGCTCGCCAGCCACGCCACAACCTCGCCACGGCCAGCCTCGCCAGCTCGCTGCAAGTGTTGTAAGTGTTATGTGTAACGTTTTCGTTGCGTTCCCCTGCCTTGCGTTCCGGCCACACCGACCGTCGCATGCACTACCACCACGTTGAGTGAGTCCTGCACGTAACACGAAGTAAGAAGTAATTAAGCTGGTGTAGAAATGGTTCAATGAAGAAAGAAGGTCTTGCAGGCTCTATCGCTGTTCACGCAGTGTGTTGTTGGGTGGTTGGCCGCGAAAGAAACAGTTCTGACGGCTTACCCTGCAGGTATAATGCGCAATGCCCGGCTCGTTCCCATGCAATGTCTCTGCGTGAGTTGACCTTTTACATGGAGGAACGGTGCAACGTTTCACAGGAGGCCGGTATATATATCGTGTTTTTCGGTTGATAGCAGGATATGGATGTAGTATCGTTACTCTGTCGTTGATAGATGATGTTTGTTATAGGAAAAGAATTTAGTCTGCAATGCTATTTCTATTCTATTTTTGGAAGCAGCGGGAGCTAGTCTGTTTTACCGCATTCATCTAGCTTGAAATCTTCTGCCTACCATTACTTACAATCATACAACAACGATAGGCTTGATCTGGCGGAAGCGGTTTCGCTAATGCCCTATTTAGGTATTCGGCTGCCAAAACTTTTCCAGTTTTGCCAAGACTGGTTATACTAGAGTCTCGTGAGGGAATTCACGATACATGTTTGCTTGTGCACTGATTCAATGGTAATACAGTACAACGTGTTGAAAAGGTTACAGAGTATACTATGGATTGCCGTACTACTGCATATATTTACTGTTTTTACTAACGCCAATTGGTTGTTGCTGCGAATGCTGTAGGCATGGCTTCAATAGATTTCCCATACTTGCTGTTTTGCTGATGTTGTCTTTAATTAGTTTGCATCGAATAATGTTGGCGTTAATTATATACAATCGACACAGTATGTGTTGATAGTTCGTAGCACAGCGTAATGAGATTTGGTAAGCTTGTCCTCTATGGTTTCCTGTTGTTTACTAAGTTTTCATATCTCTTTATAATTATTATCTTCACGTTAGCTGGTGCCAGTAAAATACTACGTGTGTAGTAACGAGCCATGCACCGCAAAGACCTTATAAACGAGTATGTTACCCACACGAAGACCAATCTAATATACAATAACGAAATGACAATACCCATGGTGACTCTTGAGCAGGGTTATCTGTGGGGTTAACTACTAAAATTTGATAGACTATAGTAACATGATTCCTAACACGAGACATCTATTCATTAGGGTTATCTTTGCTTAGAAGGTTATTTGGTGTAGAAAAGCACAAGTGAGACATGATAGGAACTGACTAGGACGCACAATCGAACCCTTTTGCGCGACCTTGACTACCTACGAGCATTAGTAAGCCACAGCCCATCTACTTTTAGCCAACTTTCCGTCTGATAAGATTTCACGTGACAAATTGTTTCCGTTAGCTGTGATTAATCTTGCAGATCCTCCGAGAGCATTTGCTGATGGCTAGCGCTATCAGGCTGGCAGTCTCGCAGCTGCCCGAGCTCACGCGCCGACTTGAGAGATTCTTCCCGCTCTCGCTGAAGGCTTACTACCTCGCGCAGAGCGTGCACGGGGGACAGTGGAGCGGCGTCGAATTCGTCGTCGACGACTGGCCCGACTTTGGCGCTCTCGTCTATCGACCGGCGAAAGGCAGCGACGGCAAACACTTCTCAAAATTCACGGCCAAGAACTACGGCCTGTACGGAGAGAGCAGGGAGAGACTGACCCGTCTGCTAAGTATTCCGGGCATCGTTAACTGGGAGAAAGATGCGATCTTCTCTGCCGTTAGAGTTGAGACCGAGTTGGACGCGCTGAGAGACGCTACCGGCGAACGCGGTAAGCTCGTGGATGGCGAGCCAGCTAGAATGTACTACAGAGAGATAGACGAGCAACTGCCAGACTGTTCTCTGCCGGACGGTTGGACAGCGACCAAGGTTAGCCGATAGCAGGCGAATATGTTATACGTGAAGAAGACACATCATGTGAATTGACTCCCGAACTCCTGTTTCCTTTAAAATGTAGAACGAAACCATACTCAACGCGCAGAGTTGTGCCGTGCCAGCCATCGACTGTGATAAGCTGTAAAGTTTGCAGACGAGACTTCGTTATTTCGTTATTCGTTTCGTTCTCGCTTCGTTTCGTATTCGTTATTTTACAGATTCCTCAGGATGCAGTCGGAAAGCTGATGCAAAACTGGGCATTTGGTACGACAGAAGGAGCCGAGGAGTACATTAAGCAATGCCTGCAGTTTCCCAGCTGTGCTCTGTGGGATGCGAAAGGTAATTCGGCTTATTAGAGATTAACCTGCGGAAGTAAAAGACACATGCATAATTCCTCGCATTAGCAAAGAACAGCACATTAAAACGCACCGTCTCTCATTCGCATCCTGACACGCAGAGCAGAGAACAAAGACTATGCACATGAGCCATAAATATTTAAATTTTAATCGGGAGGTGAGCGGAAGGTTATGTCAATACGTGAGTCATATGAACCTGAACAGTGGCGAGTAGTACGACTATAACGCTTTGCACGCGAGTCGATGCACTTCAACCGCAAGTCATTCCAACACACGTTAGCGAGCAGATTTGCTACAATGTACAGAGGGGTTCTTATCAAATGCAGGCGAGATGATGGGCTGTCTGATGTCGCACGAGTACGGCAGCAACGGGCTCCTATTCGTCGACAAGTCCGTACGCAGGCAAGGAGTCGCTCTGGAGCTTGCTCATCGCCTTCAAAAGGCAATGTTGGAGGCGGGCAGGAAGAACACATTCGTCTACGCGGCTTACAGCAACGAAGCTGCGCATCAGTTTGCACACGCTACGGGCTTCAGCGTCGTACCGAAGGGCGACTCCCTCCGCTGCTACTACACACCGGCATCTGCCAAGCTCTAGCTATCGTAGGCCACGCCGCTGATCCACCCATGCTCGGGTGCGGGGTGGCATATACGGCTTCGTACTGTGGTAATGGTTATTAGTTACTACATGTAGCGTGCATTACGACATCGGCATCGAGGTCATCGTGCTGGCATAGTTACCAGCGCGTATTCTCTCTCATTCATGCCAAAAGTAATTAGGGATTCCTTTACGCAAGCTACTTCAAGGAAGTTGCACAGACAGACTATAGAATACGGTTTATATATATATATATATATATATAACATTACTATTTACATGTAATAAGTCTATATATTTGTGCACTGAATGTGGAAGGACGCATCCATGTTTTCGATTCTGTCGACACAATTAAGAGGGTATAACGACTTCACACGGTAGCTACGGGGCGCCATGCAGGACAGGCATTTTTGTACCTATAAACTGGACAAAAATGAGTTTTGTGAACACAAAACTCAT